AGTTCTCTAGTTGCATGAGATTATTCAACTATGTCTATTGTTTTTTGTTCTTCTGATCCTAATGATACATTTAATGCAATTTGTAGGCTTCCCGAAGAGTGCATTACTTCTCAGAGGATTAATAAACATGATTTTGCCAAAACTCTAGAAGAGTTACAGGGAAGAGCGAGGAGATTGGAAAGTGATTTTATGAGGTAATGCTTGATGTTTCAGTTTCAGTTTCTATATTTTGCTCCAGTAACAATATTTTGCTGAAAATTGTTGACTGTGCACGGCTATAGCAGAGGAGTTTCTTTACAGCTAGTTTGAATGGTTGTTACCTATTGTATTGTTTTGTTTTAGAGAAAATAATTATTAGAGGGGGCAAACAAACAAGTAATAACTAATTTTGCAAAAGAGCAAAGTTTGTGAGATGCAATGGTAAATAATATTTTAAATCAGTGAAGACGATACTTGAAATGAGCCAATGTCCATGTGGGTGCGCATGCTAATTCTACAAATTATATGTCATGATGCAAGGTGAGCTGTTGGTTAATGTTATTTATTAACTGATGCCATAATTTTTTTCATTGAGCTACCTAAATTGGAATATCATTCATTATTTTTGGGAAACTTACACTTTTTTCTTTAACTTTTTTTTTTCCGAATTTCATTGATCTAAATTTTAAATTTTTGTTTTTAAGTCAAATACATTGTTTAATAGTGATACTAATGTAACTTTAAAGAAATTGTGCATTCATTGATTTGGATACTTAAAGCTAAATTGACTACCTAAATGGGATTAACATTCATCATTTTTAAGGAACATAAACTTTTTCATTTAATTAAGTCTTATTTTATGGCACAAATACATAGTTCAATATATTTATGAGTTTTTTCAAAATTATATATTCATTAATATAGGGTTCATGCGCAAAGTGCGTATATTAAAAAGCACAAAGGCCCATAACAAAATGTTGTTCATCTTTTTCACCCTTTAAAATTTGATTTCACACTCGATAAAATAGTAGTTTAATTATAACCCTAATATGTATATTGATATTGATATTGGATTATAACATTCTTATGAGACGCGAAGGAAGAAGCTATAGGTTGATCCATATTGGGGTCAAATGTTTGTGTTGTTCGAATTTATGTTCTTTGTCAATATTTTATTTTAGAATTTCGTCCTATTAGTGCTTGCATTATATGTTGGAGGTTCTGTATGTCATGATTTCTTCTCCTTTATTGATCTAACTAATATATTTAACATTTCTTTCTCAATTAATGAAGTTGCATCTATTTAGTGTCATTTTCTATTTTTACATAATTCACTTTTCTTATATACAATCTTTTTAGTTGACGCAATACACACATGCAACACATGTATACTGAAACTAGTTGCTAAATAAAGCTGAATTTGTTAATTATGTAGAAACTACATGTAGTGCTAAATTTTAATGATGCATATGCAAATCTAAGATTTACAAAGAACAATTTCAGAAATTCAAGGGTTTACTTTGAACTGTGATGGCTTTTGCTTCTGATTTAGCACATCTAAAAATATATACAGCTGATGATAGGTCTTTAACCATGATCTTCCACTCCATTAGAAAATGAGGGCAAAGTGCTTACTGTACTTATTGGTTGGTTCCGTATAAACTTGGACTTTTTATTAGGAAATCCACACTTCTCAAGTCTTAAATGTCTACTGTCATTTGACTTGCTATTAGTTCTTGGACATTCATTTTATCTTTTGATGTTTCAGTTTTACACTTCCGATTATATTATATAAATATTGTCTGCTTTACTAGCTTCCTTTTTTACCTGGAAAAGGTATGTTAATTCTGCATGATTAGTTCTGTTTGCTTTCTAATTTGTTCCTTCTCTGATCAGACTGGACAAGAGAGCATCAGTATTAGATGTGACAGTGGATGGTCAAGACCAAGAGAAGTTCGGCGTTATTAATCGGTATGCTAGGTTTCTTGGTCGGGGGCAATATGATGGTATTCCTCAGAGATACGTCACAGCGCTTCCAATACCAAAAGATCTGCCTAGTGGAGTGCACTGTCTTTCTCTATAATCACAAATGAATTGAATCTTTTCTGTGCTCTGTCATCAATTACCTCAACTTCCAGTAGACATTTTTGTCCTAGTCATGTACTAGTGCTAGCAAGAAGAAAATAGAAACCATACATTGCTGAACATACTCAAATGTCATCTCAGATGGAATGTAGCTGTCCAATCTTTTGCATGTAGGCCATTTATGTCATTATCAAGAAAATATACATGTACATCTCTTCAAACTTAGTGAGGGGGGAGAGACTAGGGTGCCCCATCATTTTTTGCCAGAAGTGGGGAGAATACATACTCTGTGCTTCTAAGCTGTTGATTTACAGTTGGTCAAACCTGTTGTTGCAAATTGTGGAAGCTATTATAATTGATTTAGCCAGGTTTGGGGTATTTGTATTGGCCATCATTATGTATAAGAGATGCCCAGGCTCATAATTGATTCTGTTGGTGCCTTTTATTTTTTGATGAAGGCTAATTTTCAGTTGGTGGATCATCAACCATTTGTAGTTAGTTTTTAGAGTTAACAACTGGAAACAGGCCAAGCTGTCCAGATTGTTCAGAACATAATTTAGTTGAAAAAGGTGCCTTTAAGCAGCATGATATTTCATAATTTCCCTTGTATGGTTCTTAATGTGCAACTGCTGTGCAGATTTTTGCAACTTGTTTTGGTGTGTGGCTGGTCGAGCCTCTTTGAAACTACAACCCTGCCTCGTCTAACTTGAGTTACCCTGTTCCTTTGGCCTTTGGCAGTTAACGTAGCTTCCTTCAAGAAGTAAGATTACATCCCTAGCTATGCTATGAGCAGAAGTTACAAACATACGATTTATAGGGAGATAAAGGAATAGAGCGAACCAAATATATTTAGTTTCTAGGGTTACTCTCTATAAACCAAGGATGAATGAATAGGTTTCCCCAACTTTGCCAATTGTCATAGTGGATGCCAAAGAATGTACGAAGGCAATGAATATTTTTTTAAAAAAACTTGCATGCGTTTTATGTTGGGTTAAAGAACCCATAGACGAGGTAAAGCAATGGTAATACGGATTATTTGGCAAAATAATTTGTTTTTCAAAAGCGGTAGATGTAGAAGAGTGCATCTATAAAAGAGGAAAGTTCATAAATAACTATAGTTTGGATCATAATTATCATTTAGTAGCTATCGTTTACCTAGTATTTGTTTGCTCAAATTTAGTTGTATTAACACTTGCTCAATTTTGCTGGATATTCTCATTTTAGGGCAAGTCGTTCTCTATCAGTTTATTTTCAAATTTTGCGAGTATATATGCAAGGATACAATCTAGTTACAACTTCGAAAATCGCTAGATTCCTAATACATCTCAGAACCATTCCATATACAACCTAACTATAATTTCGAGATACAACCCAGAATCAACAATGTACACCCCTAGGAAATCTGTCTATGTAAACACCCATAATTTAGAGAGGATGAAAGAGAGAACAAAGCAAATGCAGGCCAGAATCACCATAAGGCATTTCCTTGATATTCAATTTCGAAATGAAAATTGACTGTTAATCCTACACTCCCTCCTTGTTATTAGTAGCTATAGTTTGCCTAATTACGATTCATAGTGACTGCTTTTGAGTTGTAATATGTTGTACCTAATTGCTCTATCCTGGAAAATTGACTGTCAATCCTCCACCCTCTCCTTGTCATTAGTAGCTATAATTTGCCTAGTTATGATTCATAGTGATTGCTTTCGAGCTGTAATATGTTGTACCTATTTTCTCTATCTCGGAAAATTGACTGTCAATCCTACACCCCCTCCTTGTTATTAGTCGCGATAATTTTCCTAGTTGCGATTCATAGTGATTGCTTTCAAGCTGTAATATGTTGTACCTATTTTCTCTATCTCGGAAAATTGACTGTCAATCCTATACCCCCTCCTTGTCATTAGTAGCTATAATTTGCCTAGTTACGATTCATAGTGATTGCTTTGGAGCAGTAATTTGTTGTACCTATTTGCTCAATCTCGTTGTATCCGTCACTCAAATTCCTCCATCTGTTTGTTACATTATTCAAGTTCTTGAAATTATTGCTCTTGTAACATAAAAGGTACTGGGCCATTTGTCAAACTCCAAGCGTTTGGAAAAAGAACAAAATAACCGTAATAAGTCAAGTAAAGATCTTTATGCATGAATTTAGAAATATGCAACTTTTGGTACATTTTTTAGTTTTGTTGTTATATATGGAAGCCATATCTGGGCTTGAGCAGTTCCACTCGACTTTCTGCTAGCAATCTACTGTTTCCAATACTTTTGATGTTGTTTCTATTGACTTTATCTTCAAAGTCCCCATGATAGAATCAAGGCTTTTATCTTCATTCTTAAATGACTTCCTATAAATTATATTAGCCCAGTGGAAGACACAGTATTTCATGAGATCCATCTTCAAAAGAGTATTACACTTGCAAAGCAAAACGCTTTGTGAAATTAAGACCCATCTGTCTAGATCTTCTTCTGATGTTAATATCAATTTTAATGCAAATGGTAAAATTAGGGAAAACAGATTTATATATATAGCATCTCTACTCCCATCCCAAAAGAAAAGAAAAAAAGAGAAACCGAGTTAGAGAACAGCCAGTTATAGTGGTTCTTGCTTGTGCCAAGCCTCTTCATCCGCTGATTGCTTTGACAAACAAAGACAGCATTTAGCAACCATTGCTGTGGCGGTATTGCCTGGAAAACAGCAGTAGTCTTGTTTGTAAGTTGGATAGTTCCTCCTGGACAACTTCACCATCTGAATCCCAATTTAAGTCAGTTTTTATACGCCTCAACCTCAATTCAGTTGGGGTCATCCATGTGAATCCTTTGTATCCATTCCGGTCCAATAGATTCATCAGCATTGTTTTGAAGAAGTTTCAAGATAAAAATCTTAGAAGATAGAAGATCAGATAAATGCCTTTTCAGGCATATGGATGAGCCCAAAGAATGTCAAAGTCCAATGCCTCTTCAAGTTTCAATCTTGGAGTTGTGCAACAACAGAGAATGTTAAGTGTTTGTTCACCATTGTTTACCTATCTGTGTAGTTGAGGCTTCATGATATGGTAACATGCATCTCCTCACCAACCATAGCAAGTAATTCACCTATCCTGTCAAGGAGAACTACTGTTACAACATGATAGTAAAAACTCAAAAAGTCCCACAGAATCAATTTACCTGAATCTATCGACATTGACTTCTGCGAGCCAGGTTGTTAAGTAAACCTACAATTCAAATATTCAGTTAGTATAGAAATAAAAGGATGTGGAAACACCACTAGAAGCCAAAGGTTTGTAATTTTTCCATCCAATAAGACAATGATAGATCCTTCTAGTATGATCATAAACAATGGAATTTCCAAATATCTTTTTTTTTTTTTTTGAGAATGCATGGAATTTCCAAATATCTTTGTTGACCAGCTTCAACGTCTCACATGTTTTTTCATCATTTCCTTAAAGAACTCTTACTTTAACAAAGAAATCGGGGTCCAGCGGTGCACGATATCTTCACCAAAATACCACTCTTTTGTCTATGGCAGATTTCTGACCCATGACATGCCATCTACACATCACGTGTTGTGCTATTACCACTAACCAAAACCCCCGGAGCTCATTTCCTTGAAGAATTTTTTTCATATAGTAGTATTTTACTCGTATCTGATGGAACTGTGGAAGCCCATGTTACAAGCGGTACATAAAAAGTAGTATTAACATAAAATAATAGTTCTCTACAACCAAACCCAAACAGGAACCTCATGGGTAATATTTCCTTGAAGAATATCTTAGCTTTAACCATGACCCTTCCTAGAGATCTAGCCGTAAAAGACCTTTTCACCTAAAACGAATCATGTTTACATGTTGCACGCCACTATTATAACAATATTACCTTGACAACAAAACATGATTCACTGTCACGAACTTGAAAAACAAAACATGATTTAATGAGAAAACAGTACATAGAAGAGACAGGAAAGCATGCCTTGAACTTAAAGGGAAAAAATGCAAGTTGCAGAGAAATAATATTTCCAGTGAACCAATATTGCTACCTCACACAAATTCAAGAGAAATTTGATGCCAAAAAAGGCCTTTATGCTAAAGCCAAAAGCTCTTTTTACAAGCAAACACTGAAAGCTCAAGAAGATGGATACAAAGGGAGAGTATGTAAATGAAAGGAACTTAATGTATTAGAAAGTAAGACCTTCAGAAATTATATGGGATATACATATTTATTGTTGGTACCACTAGAGTAATTATGATATTTTTTTGGGTTAAAAAAGACCTAATATCATTTTATCTTACGCATCTGTACAAGATAAGAGTGCTGAAAGTAGCACTAAAGTTACTCCAGGTACAATCATAATTAAGATATGCAACTCAATGTGCTGGTTGAGGGGCTTTTCCCAAAGTAACAATGATATATCTTACCATCAACTAGGGTCTTTTGAAGCACTAGGGATGTGCCTCACTGTGCTAATAATTCTAACAGCTATAGACACATATATAGGAGTAGGCACACAAATTTATTCTTAAACTTATAACTTCATATACATCAGGTCACAATACCTGGAGAACGTTCCTCTCTAGTTGACTACTTGATTGCATGGTGGTAGACTGAGAATTGCAGCTCTCTTCTTTGGGCACGAGTTGCTTAAGAACCTTGTTTGAGTTTGAATCACATATGCGTAGATCATCAAACTCTCCGACATAGAAATGATCACTCCATTTCAGCCCGTCAACTTGTGAAAAATTCTCGGAACCAATAGAGCATATTTCCATCACTAGCAACCGCTGCACATCACTCAACTTTTAAGAAGGAAATACAAATAGATAGAAGATTTTTACGAATAAAGTAAAAAATGCCTCACTGTGGCTGAGAAGATGAGAAAAACACCTTTAGATTTGTTTCTGACACAAACATCTGGACCAGCTCCTTGGCCAGTGTCTCTGAAGTCATTAGAGAGTAAAATTGTAATTTTTAAATATGAAGCAGATACATAGATAAAAAGAAAAGTTAATTTCTCTGTATAAGAACAACAGGAAGCCTATGTTGAGCTCCTTTTAGTGATTGTTTAATGGGACATAGATTGTGTCTCCATTCTTGATAGTTCAGGTCTGTATGTAAGATTTGCCACCCATAAAGCAATATTTATTTAGTTAACCAGGGAGATTAAGGGTGACTGCTGAATAAAGTTACCAAGTTAAAAAAAAGAAGAAGAGATGACTGCTGAATGTCCTCTGGTCAGGTAGAAGAGACTAGCATGTTCAAAATCCGATTACCAGGAAAGGAAGATAACCAAAATTCCTGACCATTCAGACTTAAAACTTTACCTCTAACATCTTATACCACATTGACTCCCTTGATAAGAGATGAATGAGGACAACCAGACTTGCTTAGGTTTATATGACTCTTTTTTAAATTTTGTTACGTAGGTTTTATATGATTACCTCCATTGTAGCAAATTATAGTAATCTTTTTTGTTTGATTCCAACTGTTAGATTGATAATCTAACTAATGCTGAAGCCTAGTGACACATTGAATCAGTTAGTCTGTATAGGGTGAAGTATGGAACGTACGTGTTGACTGGTGAGCAAACTACTATTATGCAGTCACTAAATTCCGTTTCTTCCCTTGGTCAAATAGGTACAATTAAAATTAATTGTTGCATCGTCTAATGAAATCATTGTCACTCTATCATTAACTTGATGATATCTTTCTCTAAACAATATCCATAAGGCATCCAGCCAATCCTCTGTTAATCATCCTATAAAAGCTAGGCATCTCTGTGGCATAAGTTCAAAGATGTAGGGAGTTAATAGATAGAATAGCACATGTACGTTGCAGAAAAATGTACAATCAACACTGGATCCCCCTTTTTTTTTTTTTTTTGGGGGGGGGGGGGGGCGAGGGGGATATGTTAACCTATGTCTACCATCCCCAAACCCCCAAACAACCTCCCAGGAGTAACAGTGACCCTTCCTCACTTTGCTCTCTTGGTGACTTGAATTGTTGAAATATTGGAGCAGGGGGTGCTTTCCACTTGCCCAGTCCTCTCTTGTCCCAGTGCACAAACTTCTTTTCATTTAATAAGTAAACTGGACTCTGTGTTAACCTTGTACTATTAACTAAGCATTTAACAAATTTAATAGTCATTAATTAACTCGCACAACGAATTAGCATATGATAACCTTTTAACAAAACATTGATAAATCTCTGCAGGAATTTCCACTAGTGGGACAATCAGCAACTTGCAAAGAAAACGCATACCGAAATCAAAGATTGACCAAAAGGTGAAAACAGGAATCCCATCACAATCACCAGTGTCATTCTGATTTCCAGGGAAGCAAGAAAACTCAGTAAGTGGGGTGCCACTTGTTCCTTTGAGATAACACCTCATAGATTTAGAAACATTGACCATCTGAGTTACAACGGCCACCTGTAGATAGCTAAACAGTCAGGCAATAAATAGTCATGGTAATTCTGTTGAAGGCACTTGAATCAAGAAGGTAAAAATGTTGCATCCAGTATCCCAGTTTGCTAAAAGGTCATAGCTTCAATACAGACATGTAGCGGAATAAGATCCACGCCTAAGCGAGAGCTGATAGAAGCAGATTCAAGAGCCAAGTCTAGGAGATGAATAAATCACTTACGGATTGGTTTTTGTCAATGAGTTAATGACATCATGCAAACAACTAAGACCTATGTATCTCCTGATTCATTCTTGATTTTTGCACCCTAGACCAAAAGTGCTTTAGAACCCAGCTTTCCAAGCAACCAACCCCTTTGCCACTTTAAATTTACACTAACACCTAGATGTATATACTAATAGACAGTAAATACTTTCTCTTATTAGCTAAAGCTTTTGAGCCAACAAAAATTCACTTATATAATTTTGTCTAATTAGTAAAATTTTTATTGGACAATAACATTAAGTAATGGATTGTCATACAAGTATAGGCTATAAGAGTGTGATCTCAAGGACGTTAGATGTTCCAAGTATGAGATAAATGCAGTTCAGTATGTCAAACAAGAACAGTTGAGCATGGAAGACAAATGCAGATAAAAACTCCAACATATCTATTTATTTCTTTTACAACAAATAGCATGAAAGGAACTTGTGCCAGAGTATGAATTAAACAAAAATAGATATGTTGTTCACTTAGAAATACTTAACACAACCACTGGCCTTACAGATACTTGGGGATTCTGAAAGTAACATTGTGCTTCATTAGTCTATCAAATTGTCCTGATCAAAATTAGTCATTCAAACTGTTGACAAGCCATACATATCTATTTATTCCTCTATTTTTATTCAGGGATGTTTCCCTTCCGAACATAGGAAAGGGTTGAACAAAATAGGGAGCATTTTAAAGTAACACAGTTATAGAACATATCGAGAAGCCTGAACAATTAAAGAAGATACTAAGCATGACGGAGGGATATACAGACAGGTTTAGATGTTTTAATAACAAAAAATGATATTCAGGTTCTGAAAAGCAGAAAAGAAACGACAGTAGAAAATTCATCCATTTGACAAAAGAATGGTACCAAGTTAATCAAAGTAGCAAGCTAATGACAGATACATTTATGAAGTGAATTCGCAAATACGTAGCGTGCATACCATATCTTTGTAAGATGACAAGAGCTTACTCCTATTAGTCTCCTGAAAAATGAAGACAACTGTGAGAAATTGTTCAGAGTACAGTTTGATTTCGTCATTAAAGAGAGATGGGCTTTCCACTCTACTTTTACGCTCTTTTCCAGCATATTTGACCAATTAAATAATGAGGAAAACCTCTGAGGTGCAATCAGAAAATATTTTCAACATAACTTCAATCATACTTAACAAGCAACCAAACAACATTAATTCAGCAACAGAAACCATTCAGAAATTCTTTTTGGTTGAAAGGTGCTGATTTATTGTTGGTACGTTCAAATTCAATAGGTTCCCTACGTCATTAGGAGGATACACTACACCGAGGGGCATCAAGTAAAGTTAAAGCATCAGGCAATGAAGATCTGTCTCACTCCACAATAAGTGGTTTTGTTGTATATTTTCTCAATCAACTTTATAGAGTGTGCCAATAGCCAACTTCTGGGACAATTCAAAAAGACAAAGGGATAAAAAGGCAATTACTATAATCACCTGCTGCTTGAACAATTTCCTACATGCTTTTTTACGTATATCAGGCATCTCTGTCAACACACCTAACTCCATTGCATCCATATACCTGCACCAAACTCCAATGGATGTCATTCTGAATCACGGATTATTCAACATTAGAAATTCTTAAAAGTCCTACACTAGTTGAGGGTATGAGTTGTGTAGTCAGTTGAGTTAGGCATTTTCATAAAAGAAATCACATTGACAACAACACAAATCCACATATTCTCTTCAATACTATCTCGCGCTAAAACATGGATATTATTATTTGGAAAGTCAGACAATTTTTTTTTTCTCATCAAAATTTTCAATGATTTTAGAGATGTTTTAACTAAAACAATTGTGATTCATACTACCTCCTTTTCAATTTGTTTGCTGTAAAAAATACTTAATTTTACAATCTTGAACTAAAGATATCTAGAATGTATCAAAATGTTAATCTGCATGTCACCGCCGAAGTTAGAGTTAAAGAGTTGGCCATAAAAAGGAAAGATGCAATCTTTTTGAAACCGACTAAAAAGGAAAACAAAAGACAAATAAATTGAAACGAAGGGAGTTGTATTTTCTATGTAACTAAACTTAAGTTTACCTTTGGGAGAGATAAGAATTTACAACATAAGTGGCGTGTGATCGAGCAGTGGAGGATAAAGAAAGCCATTGCGTTCGAAGAGAAGACAACTTCGACCACTGGTTTCTCAGGTTTCGCTGCGCCGCCGGTCTCCATCGCCGTATATCTTGAAAGGATGACGGCGTCGATGGCGTTGTTGGTGGAGCCGGCGATTTTGCAGCCGGACTTTGAATATTCCAGTCCGTGGCTTCATCGGAGGAAGCCGGAAACGGCGCCGGAGTAATTGGGAGGACTTTGGACTCCATTGTTGTGACGGTAGAACTAGTAGCTGAAAAAAAAAAAGAAGTAAAAAAGACCAATGACGAGTAAACTTGGGTAAAGTGTAATAGTGGTCGATTTAGCCCCTAAGGTTTAAAAAGTTAATACTTACATCCCCTGTTTAGTCAAAATATCACTATAGTTGTTACAACATCAAATTGATAGTAAAACACAAGTCAATGCCATTTTACCGGATGAGTCAAATCTATATTACGATTTTTAAAGGTTACTTTATTTTAAATTTTAATTCAGAAAAAACATATTCTCTTAATTAGGCAATTCAAAATCTCATAAATTTTGAAATATTGACTCACAAATAGATCAGGATATCAAATATTGCTTTTGTCAGTCCTTCGGAGCAAAGAATTAAGAGAGGAACAAAATATTCACAAGTATCGATTAATAAAATATATATTTTTCATAATTATAATTTATTGTTGCAACCATTTCATAAAAATAATTTTTAATCACAAGAAAATAGGAGGATTAGTTTTATTAAGAAGAAATATGGGGGACATGGGAAATCACCTGAAAATTGAAGCAGTTTCTTCGGGAAGATGGAAGGCAGAAAGTTGTGGAGGTCAATAGCTTTTATTGGCTACCTCACCACGCAGAGTAAGATGGAAAGAAGACTGTAAGCTGAAATGACCAAAATGTCCTTGATAAGTAAAAATAATTATTAAAATCAGTCATATTGATATCACAGTGACATAGTATACCCACTCTCTACTATGGTAGAAAAGAAAGTCATAAAAATAGTGAGATTTATCATTTAAGAAAAATCCTTTAAAATGTTTGGTAAATATTTTTTAACACAAGAAAATTATGACATCCAACACGGGGTCTAATTGAAAGCTGGCATGTGCAATATTTACATATTCAAGGGGTTCATTCAGAAATTGTCACTTACTATTTCTAAGGCTTTTTCTGGTTCGGATCCAAAATCATTTTCGGCGCAGAAACTACAGCAGGCATGTCGTCACCAGCGAACGATCCACGGCAACCGTCGACGGCAAAGCCGTACAAGCCTTCGGCGGTCGCTCCACAAGATCTTCCTATAGATTACTCCGGCTTCATAGCCGTCATCTGCGGCGTCTTTGGTGCCATGTTCAGAGTGCGTATCCTTCTAAATTCTGTATATTTTGTACCTATACTCGACAATTTTTTCCTAATTTGGTTATATTTAGGATTGTATATATAAAATTAAATTGGAAAACCCGCTCTTAATTTCCATCCAGAACGAAGGGTTATCCTGGATTTAATTTTTTGGGGAATGGAGTTACGTACATACAAAGCTTCAGGCTGCCAATACACGAGATCCACTGCTCATATCTGTATTTGAAATGATTAGATTTCATATACATAGGTGGATTTTGTTATTGGTCTAATGTTAATTTACATAATTGTATGCTCAGCATCATTTACTCTGGTGATCTGTTTTGTAGTACAAGATTTGCTCGTGGCTTGCTATTATATTCAGTGCTCAATCCCTTGCTAACATGAGGAATATGGAAAATGATCTTAAGCAGATCTCAATGGCCATGATGTAAGTTCAGCTGTTTGATTAATTGTATTGAGAGCTATATGTGTTGTTATTGTATGTTAGATGTATCTTTACAAGTATTATTCGGAGATGTTTTCCTAGTTTGTGGAAGGGAATTTAAATCCTAAATTTGGATTCTGCTCTTGCTAGAGTTATGTTCTTTGGATTGAACCTGTCCCTGATTGTGAAATAAACAAATATTGGCTGTACTGAACTACTGATATGTAGTGAAAGGCATAACGGGTGAAGTATTATCAGGAAAAAACATCCAAGGGAACTTACCAGAAGTACTATTAGAGTCTAAGTTTCTTGAGAATAGTGTGAACTTGCTTCAATTGATACTTGCTCTTTATTATTGCACTACTTGCTAAATACAATTTTCAGTGTGATTATTTGCTGCTCCTGCATTTATATTCACAAGGAGGTATCAAACCTGGAAGTAATTTTAATTTCAAAATATCATGAAATGATCTTCAATAATATGGTTTGTTTTGAATGGTTAGTGGAGTTTCTCTTGGATTGGAATTATGGTTTGCCTTCCATGCAATTGCGCTTTGCCGTGCATTCAGGACATCAATTTGAAGTAAATTTAGTGCATTTTACAAAATATCAGTTGTGGATGGTTATGTGTATGCAATGGATTTTAATCTTATTTTAAGCTGTTGAACTCGGGAATGCAATTTTATTTTTTGATAATTACCCAACAACACAGTTATTCAGTAGCCATTCAGTGGTTAGATTAAAAGAAGGGGAGAACCTTTTTAATAGAATATCTCATGTCTCATTTGATCTTCTGAAAAAATTGGCATGTGATTTGGCGTATACATGTAAAAAAGACATTAAAATGTTTCATTTGATGTGTGGTTTGTATGGAATGGGATGAAAAGACAATAACATGGAATCATTTCCTTCATTAAGAAAAAGAAGGATAATTTAGCTTTTTAAGAATATCAAATAAAAAAAATAAAGTAAAGGAAGGAACCCTAAGTCCCTAAGTATCTATTGAACGTGGTAAGATGAGTTTGAGCCGTCACTGTGGCTCCGTACAGTTCCACTCTGCTCCAAAATTACTCAAGCCCAACTAGTCAACAAATTTTGGGAGTTAGAGGAATATATATAGTCTCATAAAGGTGAAGTAAAAGATAGTGTTCACTTGTGTGGGTGGTTGCAACTCTTGTAGGACTTAATTTGTAATGAGGTACTTTCTGGAGTGTTGTCCCTTTTACCTTTTTTGCTGTCCAAAGAACAGAAATTGCAGGAAGTTAGTTGTGCATTACTCGTTTCCCTTCTCCTGCGACCAAAAAGTACCTATGAGCCTTTATATGCCCATGTGTTCTTTTTTAGGTCTCAAAAACAATTTAGTTGTAAGGCATCGTCTTCACCCACCTTGCCACCACTGCTTCCATGTACAGTTTCTAGAATGGTTGTGCCCAATGTCTAGTAGCCTAGTTTATACTATATGTTAGTTATGAGTAAGGTAGGAAAGTAGATTGGATTCTCAATTATTAGTAAGGTAGTGTTATAGATCTGGAAACTAAACAAATAGATATTATCAGTTCTATCAGTCTTGTAATTGTAAATGATAAATGCATCGTTGTCAAAGAGTAGTTTGTTTGACTAGCTAAAGAGTTATTAGATCAAACGAAATGGAAAGAGAGTATTCATGAAGCATAAAAGAACCTATTGCAAACTGATTGTTCTGCTATTAGCCATCACATTTTCATTCCCTATGCTAGATTGCGTGTCTAATCAGAATTTGTTATTTTCATCGTCTCAGGTTTGGTATTATGGGTCTCATGACAAACTACTTGGGTGTTGGTCCCAGGGGAAACAAGAAAACTTGATGGAATTGTTTCAGGCACAAACTCATTTATAAGAACATTGATGTCAAACATGTGGATGTCGTCCCGAAATATTTGCACTGTTTTGATGATTCTGAGCTAAATGAAGCTGTAGAATAGGTTTTATGTAGTTTGAGCTCTTTTTACAGGGCTATTCTGTTCTAAGTTCTAATTGCTCTTAGCAAAAACTAGACAATTATTATTGTGGTGATATAACATTCTGCTAGCGAATCCAGGTTTCTCTATCCTTCCAACTTCCACTATATTTCAATTTATGTCTTGTAATGATGGAAACAGCTAAAGATTAACTCCTCTTCAGTATTCTACCTCCAATTGTTCTGTTATCTGTTAGATATTTAACTCTTGCCACTTAATTAAATTTAATGGTTCGGATTCACTCTTCAAATTTGTCAGTAATACACTTATTTTCTTCACGGTTCCTTCGCAATACTTTATATGCATACACAAATCATATCTGAAAATTATGTTTTGTGAAGTTATAATAGTGTATGCTTCTAATAATTGTTCCATCATTCATTTAATTGTCGATACTGAAGTGATATGCCAAAAGTGGTGTATTGGATTTCAGTCATGTTCCCTCTGCACGTCCTATTATGGACTTGGTAAAGGGCAGCCCATTTTCATATTTAAATGATACTTCCTCGACTTATGAACAGAAACAATAGGTGTTTAATCTAGGTGAGTGTACCAATTTCATTTTATATAAATATAAATCCCTCTGTTTTGACATAAGAAAGTGACACAGCTTTTTTCAAATTTGACAGTCAAGTTCCCTACTGCTTCCGTGAATACGCCCTGTCAGCCCCCAAAAGTGCTTTCCTTCTCACTTGAAAGAAAAAAGATGCTCAGCTTTTTTGTCTACCTTCTTTACCCATCAAAAAATCTGTTAATAGATTTCATTTCCCTCTTAAAAACAACCTGCTTCTGTCGGTCACCTTACAACTAATCATATTCGTGTCATCTTTTCTTCTTTTGAGTGTCTTGTCCACAATCTCTGTCTATTCAAAGATCCGAGACTGCTAGTGTTGTTGGTGACATTGGTTCCCCGTCCCTACTCTCCTATCTCTCTCACCCTGGTTGGGCTCTGGATGAAATTGTGAATCGAGTCAGGAAAAAGAAGTCCAGCTCCAGGCTTTAAAGAAGAGAAGAAAGACCTGGTTTCAAGGGAAATGGTTTAGGAAAGAAAGATCCCAAGCTTATGCTGAATTGAGAGTGGACTTGCCTTGGTCTTCTGTGAGTTCCAGAGATTCAGATCAAGGTAGTTGCGTATGTACTGACAGACTTAAAGCTGCATCTCCTCAAAGTTCTAATAAACTCTGCTTATTACTTCGTGAAGATAAACAAAATACATTTTGCGGTTAACTGATACAGCAAGTATCAGTAAAAACGTGGATGCCCTATACTGGCATATCTTTGATTGCCTATATGCAAATACTGACAAAGCTGATAGGCATAGATCTTGAACTGCACATCTGAATGCCAGTAAAATTATGTTGCAACCCTCATATCTCAGCTCACGGTATTTAAGAACTGAGAAACCCCCGAAAGCCAATATGATGCAAAGTTCAAAATTCAGTGGAGAATATGCTCATCCCTTTACAC